CGCCACCTCGCCCTTGAGGGAGGGAGGCAAGGGGGCCCCTCACCCAGCAGACGGGAGACCCTTCCTCCTGAGGGTTCTCCAGACAGAAGAGAACAGGTTTCCCAACCGAGAGGCTGCATAGAGGCTGGGGTCAGCTGAGGTTGCCCTGGACACCTTTTCAGGTTCCTGACCAGGCCCTCTGCTTACACACGCAATCTTACACACGCTCTCACACGCAGTCTTACACACGATGTTACACATGGTCTTACACATGCTTACACGTGATCTTACACACGGTCTTACACACGCTTACACGTGATCTTACACACGCAGTCACATGCTTACACATGCACTCTTACACACGATCTTACGCAGTCTTACGGTCTTACACACAGTCTTATAATGCTCACACATGCTCTTACACACATAGTAACATGGTTACACATGCAGTCTTACACACACTCTTACACATGCAGTAGCATGTTTACACACACAGTCTTACACTCTTACACACGCAGTAACATGTTTATACATACAGTCTTACACACGGTCTTACACACGGTCTTACACACGCAGTCTTACACACAGTCTTACACACGGTCTTACACATGCTTACACACAGATGCGCACGGGATGCTCACCCTCACATGCACTCCGGGGGCCGCCCTTCCCGGCCAGCTGCCGCACGGTGCCTCTTTCCTGCCCAGTGGGGCCTGCAGGCCTCATGGCTTCTCCTTAAAACCACATGATGAAGGAGGAAGCACAGCCAGGCAGATACCGACTCCAAAAAACCCCCGTGTACTCCCTCCAGCCAAGAATCTAGGCTGAAATCTGCCCATCCCTGCCACAGAGCTGCCCAGCGCTCAGGCTTCGGGGAATGGATCGTCATGTTGATAATCCCCCTGTGAGGGCACTGCTCATGTGACCCTGGCAGGGCCAGCCCCAGGTGGACGGTGATGAGGGACCCTCTGTTGGCTGTTGGGCCCCTGTCTTGGCCGGTTTAGCACAGTGGTCCTGATCTGTGGCCTCTTCTCTCTGTCTCTCCAGACCCCAAAACCCTGGCCATAGCTTTGCTTTCTAGACATGGCTCTCTTGGGAGATGGTGGGGGTGGCCTCTGTTCCGGGATGATTTCCTACAGCCTGGGTGAGGGGTGCAGAAGAAGAAATCCACTGTGAGGCTGAGAGAGACTCAGCCCTAAACCAAGGGTTGTGGTGGAGCCCAGGGGCAGTGTGAGGGGCTGAGGTCACCGTGGGCTCCTGGCCAGCTCGGCCTCTGTCCCAGCCTGAGGCAGAAGCAGGGTTTCTTCACCTCCCTGACTTGTATTATGCGATCAAATGACTATCGCTCATACGTGTGTGTGACAAGACTCAAAGCGGGGCCTCTCCGTGAAGATTGCTGAGAACACAGACTCGGCTGGAACTGGCAGCTTGGCAGATTCTTCACGGGCAGAAAGGGGTGGCCTTGGCCCCGACTCGGGGTCACTCAGCTCCCTGCTGGCCAAGTCTGCCTCTTCCCTCCTGAGCTCCCTGTACCCCCACTCCCCTCCTTGCTTTTATAATTCTGTAGGTCTCCCCATAGAAATTCTAGAAACGATGGCCTCAGCACCCTGGAATGAGATCCCAGCAATCCCAAATAAAGGATGTCAGGTCTCCTGACAAGTCAATTGCATGTTGTTACACAGCCTGCATCTCCAGAGTCATACATGATCCTGGCCCTGCACGCTGACCTGCGAGAGAGTGCCTGCCGAAAATGCACCCCCGTGTCATGGAGGCCTGGGCAGTAGGGTCTGGGAACCTCAGTGAAAAGATGCCCACGGCCAGAACAAGCCTGTCCAGCAGGGTAGAGGACTGGGCAGCCTTCTGACCTTGCTGACCCTCTCAGGGGCATCCTGGCTGGAGCTCAGGGCAGAGGAGGGCTGAGCCTGATTTCCCGGCTCTGGTTGCCCCGGGGACCCCAGAGAGCGAGCGATTTGTGAGCCCAGGCCCTGCCGAAGCCCCCGTGCAGGCTTCCTGCTTTCTCTGGGCTTTAGGGCTATTCTCTGCACCTCATTTTCTCACCGTGTTTTCTGCACACTAATTAGCCCTCCTCTCACCCACCCTTGAAAGAAGAGCTCCCTCTCCCCCAGCAACGGGGACAGCAAAATGAGACGGGCTTTTCCTGGAGGCTGTGGGCAATCGCTTAACCCCTGTGACCGCCGGGGAAGGGAGGCCGGGGCCCGATGCACAGACCTCCCTTTAATCAGCAGGAAACACTACCTTTCTCTCCTAAGCTGTTTGCTTGGCCAGTAAATTAAACATGCCCTTAAAGCGTTGATTTTCCTCCAGCGGGTCAGGGGTTTTGGGAAGTAGAATTCAAACAGAAAAAAGCCATGTTTTAAACAGAGCCCTGCAACGGATATGCACTTGATAGGGACACTGCCCCACTTCGGGCTCCAGCGGAACTCCCAGAAACACCTGGGGTTCTAATTCCTACTTGTGCTTCAGGCGGAGGCGCCCACGCCCGAGAGGAGTTAAGGAGTGCATGGGGGAGCTTTGGCTTCCAACCCGACTTTGTTTGCGAGCTCCGTGCAGTTACCAGTTCCAAATAATAAGATGCCATGTTAATTACCCCCCCCCTCTAATTTACCTTTATGCTGCACACAGTCAGTGGGGCGGGGGTTATGGGGGTGTTCTTTCAAACCTAAACAACTTCAGGTCTTTAGGGTGGAGGAACAACAGCGGCAGTTCTGTGGCTGCGTCTCTGAAAGGATCCGCCGCGTCAATTAGAAAGGACCCGTTGGCCACTTAAAACATCATAATTACTTCTCTGAATGCTGATAAATTAAATAAGTGTTTTCCTTGCGACTTTTCCCCCCAAGACTTTGGTTTCTTTTGAAAGAAAGCATTTTGCTCTTTCTTGTGCTGATCTGTTTGCAACCAGTGTGAGGAATCTGAAGTCATTTTTCCTGTACTTAAAAGTTCGGTCTCCTTGGAGGCTTCTGTGTCCCCAGCCAACGTCAGGGTGCGGGGCGGGGGCCGGGAGGCAAGGGCCAGCGGGACCAGGGCTTCGAGGCAGCCACAGAAGGAGGGGCTTGCGTGGAAAGATCTAGATCAGGTCAGGGTGACGGAGCTCACCCCACCTCCTGCCCATTCCCGCTGCTCCCCACCTAACTAACACTCACATCTGCCTTTTCGATATTATCGAGGCAGAATTCAACCACTGTAAAGGGGGCGATTCAGCGGCACTGAGCCGTTCACCCAGCGGTGCGACCACTGCCTCTCTAGTTCCCGGACACTTCATCACCCCGAAAGGAGACCCGGGCTTCTCGCTGTCACCCCCACCCCAGTCCCGGAAGCCTCCCACCTGCGTCTGTCTCTGGGGGCCTGTGCCGGATGAGTCACCTAAACGCCGCCAGGCAGGTGTGACCCTCTGCATCGGCTTCCTACGCTGAGTGCCGCATGTCCGGGGCTGGTCCTGGCTGTGCGTGCCAGGGCCGCCCTCCTCCTTGGGGAGGGATGGTGCCACAGGTGTGACCCTCTGCATCGGCTTCCTACGCCGAGTGCCGCATGTCCGGGGCTGGTCCAGGCCGTGCTCCTCCTTGGAGAGGGTGGTACCATCCACTACTCATCCGCTCCCTCATTCCCTCGCAGACGGATGTTTGGGCTGTTTCTGCCTTCCGGCGATGGTGAATCTGCCACGGTGAACATTCGCCTGCCTGAGTCCTGGTTTGGCTGCACTCGGTGGAGGGCTTTGCTTTTCTTCCTGTCCAGACTCCTCCTCACCTTGCCCATCTCCCCCAGTGCCTCGGGCTACTCTCTGCTATAGTTTCAGCTGCACGCACACAGTCTCTTGGCACCCACCTTCTGTTAGGACGGACCCCAAAGGTCTACCCCAGACAGACAAACTGGGCACCCTCTTACTGCTCAGCTCAGTGACCTGGGGCCCCGTGACTCTGACATCCATGACCTCAGCAGGCATATTCCTAGCCTGTGTCAAGATCATCAGGGTGACCTGGGGCCCCATGACTCCGACATCCGTGACCTCAGCAGGCCTATTCCTAGCCTGTGTCGAGATCATCAGGGTGACCTGGGACCCCGTGACTCTGACATCTGTGACCTCAGCAGGCCTATTCCTAGCCTGTGTCGAGATCATCAGGGTGACCTGGGGCCCCATGACTCCGACATCCGTGACCTCAGCAGGACTATTCCTAGCCTGTGTCGAGATCATCAGGGTGACCTGGGGCCCCATAACTCTGACATCCGTGACCTCAGCAGGCCTATTCCTAGCCTGTGTCGAGATCATCAGGAACTTCCACGAGCCTCCCCAAGACCCAGCCAGCCCTACCCCAGTGCATGTCCAGGCTGTGGCCTAAATGCAGGGATGTCCAGGCTGCGGCCTAAGTGCGGGGATGTCCAGGCTACGGCCTCAGTGTGGGGATGTCCAGGCTGTGGCCTCAGTGTGGGGATGTCCAGGCTGCGGCCTAAGTGCAAGGAAGCAGCACTGAGCACATTTCACAGTCACCCAAATTCTGAGTCCTCCCAGGCACTTAGGACTTCTGCCGTCCGTGATTTCCAAGACTACAGAGGACATTTGAAATATTCCGGTGCAAATATTTCACCATCAGCCAGCCCTGGGTCAGCTGCCACGCATGACGGCTTCACCGGCTGTCACCAAGCTTGCCAGGCACTGGCAGCTCCTTCCCTAGTTCCCTTAGGGCAGGACCAGCCGGCGCATCCTCAGGTGGCTGTGGGAGCCAGGCTGGGGGAGCCAGAGTGTGCTGGGCTGTGCCACCCCATCAGAAAGGTTGGCCCCAGTGGAGCCTGGCGGGATCCCATCCTCCGGAGCCTCTGACGTGGAATGATGGCAGCTTGGCTCAGGGTGGAGCAGAGGCAGCATATCCCAGGCAGGGGTGGCAGCCGGGCCTTCTGGGTCCCTGAGCACCCTCGGTCCCCACTGACGCCCGAGTCCCCGGCACTCCCTGAGCCGTACACCCCGGGAGGGGCACGTGCTGCAGAGGCTGATGCTGCGTTGTCTCCTTTAGGTGACGGTGACGTTGTAAATAATATGTATGAACCCGACCGGGACCTGCTGGCCGGCCACAGCGCAGAGGACGAGGCCGAGGACAGTGCCATGTCACCCATCCCCGTGGGGCCACCGTCCCCCTTCCCCACCAGCGAGGACTTCACCCCCAAGGAGGGCTCGCCATACGAGGCCCCGGTCTACATTCCTGAAGACATTCCGATCCCACCGGACTTCGAGCTCCGAGAGTCCTCCATCCCGGGGGCCGGCCTGGGGGTCTGGGCCAAGAGGAAGATGGAAGCCGGGGAGAGGCTGGGCCCCTGCGTGGTGGTGCCCCGGGCGGCGGCGAAGGAGACGGACTTCGGATGGGAGGTGAGCAATCGCGCCTGAGCATGATTGATCACGGCCATTTATCTTGTGTTCCATCTATTTATAAAGCCGGGCTGAGCAGCCACTGCCTGAGGCGGGAGGCGCGGCCAGAGAGAGCGTTCAAATGTCACATTTCCCAGCCTATTTTATCCTGCAGCTTGCCTGACGGGACTCAGAAAGCATCAGAGGTCCTCGTGGGCGCCTGTCAGCCCTGTAGGGCACGCCCACTCTCTCCCGGAAATGTGTCTTTCATGAGCTCATGTCTTAAAACATCCCGTGCTTCCCGCCGGATCCCAGGCGTGAACGCGGCCATCGTGGCGGGGCAGGGAGATGCATAGAAAGTCCCAGAACAGGCAGCTGCACTCCAGGACTTCATTCCAGGCCACGGCAATGTGGAGCAGCTCACAAATCACACCTGGTGGCCACGCTGCCCCGGCTGCCACCTTCCCCGCCTGCCCCGGTCAGCCAGTGGCCTGAGAGTAGCCCGAGCTTCTCCAGCTCCAGGGGCACAGGCCCCGTCCTGGAAGGGATGGCTGACTGTTTAAATTTTCCCACCACGACGTGACCGGCCTTGAGGGTCTGGAGCTGGCCTGGTGAACCTGCTGCAGGGGTCAGGAGACAGGGCGTCCCTGGGACGGCTCTGAGCGGGGAGCACCCAGAGCATCCTGTCCAGGCTGTGAGGGACGCGAGGCACCGGTGTTGGGGGCCCTCGAGTGGTCCTACGGGGACTAAGAGCCCCACCCCCCACACAAAGTGTACTTCCTGGTGGGCCCTGGCCTTTCTGCAGGCCCCACACAGCCAGTTGTCGGTGGTCTTTTTGGCAGGGCTGCTGCTTGGGTAGAAAATGGGAACACCGGGCAGATTCCCCTGTGCCTCCCAGCCTCTGAAGTGCCCAGATGGAGGTAGGCTCCTCATGGGCAAATGGCCTGAGCAGGGAAGAGGAACCCCAGATGGATGGGGGCAGGATCCTGCGTCTTGCCCACCTCCTCTCCTGGCCGCTCGTGACTCTGGAGAAGTCCCCAGCCAGTTCCATGCTCACTATCAGGCCTGCCCCAACTCAGATGGGCCCTGGGGAGGCCCCTGTGGCCTCCAGCAGCCCTTGAGCACCTCCCTGGGCTGACGGCATTAAGAGCCCTTTGTAAGAACACTGACAGCCTGGGGGCCAGAGGCTGCCCGCACCCTGCAGAGCTAAGTGCATCCTCCCTGGGCAAGACCAGGGCGCCTCGGCAGCTCCCAGCAGGCAGGTGTGGTCCTTGGTAGCTCACAGAGTCCTGTGTGGCTCCTCGTCAAGGATATAGGGAGACTCAGAAGCTGTTCCCTGAGTGTCAGCTTAAAGCTCCCCCCTCCGCCAATTATAGAGCTATGGGGGTCCCGGTGCCTGAAGAAAAGCATGTGGCAGAGTCCACAGCCATCCAGCAGGGTGGGAGTCGCAGCTCTACGGGCAGCACCTGTGGGCCGGGCGCACCACCCCCCTCCATCGAGAGGCAGAGGACAGTGAGTGTGGGCCCAAGGTCAGGTTACCTTCAGGAGGGACTGGCCAGGAGCCAGGGGCACCAGTTAGACAGGACAGGGAGAGAGTTTGGAGTAGAAGACCTCGGTGGAGACACTGCCCAGCTTCATGGCCCTACAGGCCCCTCATGGGACCAAGGAGAGCATTTTGGTAGCAACATTCGTCTTTGGCTGTGCAGTGGAAGTGACTTTGGCAGAAGCGCCCTGTCCCGCCCTCCCTGGTGTGTGGGAAAGGAATTCAAGGGTGTGTGTCCCTCACACTTAGAAAGGTCTGGACTGTTTAATTAGGAGGTGGCTTGTGGATGTGAGAGGTCCAGGGGCCCTGCAGGTAGCACTTTGGATGACCTTCAGGTGACTTTGTTCTTGGCTACTCTGATACAAGTTTCTATTTGCTTTTTTTTTTTTTTTTTTAAAAGAAATGGCCCATATCACGATGTCCGTGTGGTGCCAGGCCCGGTGCAGGCTGCGCCGCCGCCTGCCGCTGCCTGTTGACTTTGCGGCGTGTTTATCCCTGGTGTGTGTGTACGTGAGGGAACGTGCTCTCCCCACGGCGCACCTCCCTTTTCTGCGAAGCGCTTTGTTCCACGGTGGCCACCTGACAGATGCCCCTCCTGCTGGTGCTGAGAAATATTTACTCTCCCCCCGACGCCCTCAAACGGTGCTCCCCGCGCACCCGGCAGGATCTCGCCCGACCTTGTTTTCCTTGTGCGTTCGGGCACCGATTCCCTGGCTTTGGGGCCACCTTTGGGTTTTGTCACTTCCATGAGATGGGGCAGGGGGCAGCCGTGTGCGTTGGTGCCTTCGGGAGCTGACATTGGAACTGGGCAGGAAGCCACCACCTCCTCTGTGAAGGGCAGAGAGGAGGAAGCAGGGGGTGGAAATTAGGTGGCAGCCCCAACGGCCTGAAATGAGCGATGTCCGTCAGTCAAGGTTTCTCCCCACCTCCAGCCACCTCAGCTGGGGACTTGGGGCAGAAAAAGTGACATCGTCCCCTGAGCCACCTTCCCAGAATTTTCCACGCGTCCCGAAAGAGCTGATTGCCCTTTCCCTTTGGGTTTTTGCCTTCCCCGAGGTGGCCCTGGAGGGAGAAGTGACTTGTGGGTGCCCCTTTCTCTGAAGACTTCTTCCTTTTGCCGACTGCCTGGCCTGTCTTCTGAGTGCCGTGAACAGGGGCCTGAGACAGGAGAGGAGCACCAGGCTTCAGGGCTGGGATCCCTCTGTAGTTCCAGACACAAGAAGCACCTTCTGCTGAGTCCCCTTCCCAAGCCACTCACACCAACCAGGCGCCCTGCTAGCCCTTTTCCCTCCACGCCCCTGCGGTGAGCTCCACCAGAGCAGGCCTGGGTCACAGAAAAACAGGGGTGCCAGCGTCACGCCAGTGGGATCCCAGGTCAGGCCTGGGTCAGAGGAAAACACGGGTGCCAGCGTCACGCCAGTGGGATTCCAGGTCAGGCCTGGGTCAGAGAAAAACATGGGTGCCAGCGTCATGCCAGTGGGATTCCAGGTCAGGCCTGGGTCAGAGAAAAACGTGGGTGCCAGCGTCATGCCAGTGGGATGGCCCATGCGTGTGTGTTATCTCTGATGGTCCTGAATTTCGTGTGTATAATTGTTCACTTTCACACTGGTAATTAAGTGTTATGAATCAGAGTGATTTGATTTTACTGTAATGTCCACAGTATTTATTTACTGAAAAAGAACAAGTAATGACATTTTAGCAAAGATAACAAACAAAATCTGAGAAGGATCAGTGTCATTTTGGCATCCCTACGTGGTGGCCAGGAGCATGGTGTTGTGGCCACTCTGAGCTCAGAAGCGGGGTTCCCCTGGAGGAGAGGGGATCTGGGAGTGGCGTGAGCAAAGGGATCTCGCCGGGTAGCAGCCCCTGCAGGAACAGGGTGTGCGTCTCTCAAAGGACAGGTTTGAAATAACAGTAACGTGGATTATTCTTACTGTCATTTTGGGACACGGTGGAAACCACTTTCTTTCTACTCTGAGAACAAAATTCTTGTTCTGGACAATTCAGTTGAAATAAAATAAAATGAGAAGGTTGATTTTCCTTTCTCTTTTTATCACAAGAGACACGCTGCCAGGCAACACTGGGCTTTGGGATGACTGGGGAGGGTCGGGGCCCTTCTCTCCCTGACGCAGGGCTGACGTAGATGATAGCACGACTCCCTGGGGACGAGGGACGGGGCAGGGAGCACGTGAAGCACCCACGAGCTTTGGGTTCAAGGCTGTGGGGCAGCCTGACTTCAAGCGGGAGCTTTCCGTTAGCAAAGCAGGAATGAGGGTAGGGGTTGGGAGCTGACTTTCCTCCGGCCTCGGTGGCTAGTTCGAAGCCTGCACTCCTTCCGCACCGAGGCTGACGCTGGTTGGGGAGAGCTGCCCCCTCCTCTCTCCCTCCTATGTATTAGGAATAGTCACTGACTAAACCCGCTTTGTTCCTGGGTGCTGTGGGGCACCCTGAGATGTGCCCTGAGTCAGATGCCCCACCTCCGACCTGGGGGTTCACCCTGTGCATGGCTGTGTGTGTACCCCAGGTGTGTGGAAAGGGCCCCCTGAGCTTCATCTCAGGGAGGGGGTTTGTCAGGAAGGGCACCCAAAATGCCTGGCCTCCTCCATCTGGACACAGCCGGGTTCAGTCTCCTCCCCAATATCACACCCCGCCTACCGCCACCGGAGCCCACCTGCCTGGAGGAAATCACCCGTGAGGGCATTTGATCGCCCCGGGGTCTGCAAAAACAGTGGTTTTGATCATTTGTTGAGTAAATCATGACATTTATCATCGTGCTGTTTGTTTTGCTAATTAAGAGGTGGCTGCCCAGTGGCAGCCCAGAGGGAGGAGGCAGTGGGTGAGGTGCTGGGTGAGGCCACCTGCCCCCAGCTGGGCCTTCAGCTGCGTGCCCAGGGCCCTGAGGCTCGGGGCCTGCTGGGGCGGGATCCTGCAGGACCCCCAGGGGAGGCAGTGGGGGCACTTTTCTCAGTGCGTCGGCCACTGTCTCCCACCCAAGGTCTGCTTGTTTCTTTGTTGACTGTGTCTCCCCAGAAAGGCTCTCGACTGCATCACCAGCCCCGCCTGTAATCAGAACACTGATGAGTAAGTGCCTCTGCCTCTGCTTAAGAGGCCAGGTGAAAAATGTTAATGTGAATTGATGGGGTTTCAATTATTTGAAGAATGTACTGAAGTGGACAACCTCACCCCCGGCGTTATTTACTGAATATTAATGTGTGTTTATTTGTTCAATCAACAAATGCTCTGTGTCTAGGCCAAGACCTGTGGGAAGCTCCGGGGTCACAGGGGAACCAGCCCAGAGGCCTTGGGCCACACTAATCATCTGGCACTACCATCATGGGACCCCCAAGCTGGTGCCTCCGGGGTCCCCAGAGCCCACTGAGAGTCTTTGGCAGGGCCAGGACCTGCCAGTCTCCCCTGTGGACCAGGAGCTACACAGCAGCCAGGGATGGGTGAGAGCAAGCCCAGCCTGCACCCTCAG